TCTCGCCAAGTTGCCCAGGCGGGTCTCGAACCCGCGGACTCAGGCCATCCACTCACCTCACCTCCCAAAGGTGCGGGATTACAGGCTGAGCCACCGAGCCTGGCTAATTTAAATTCTTAATTAGGTTTTAAGCTTTAAAAATCCAATATCATTTTAAAACATTCTTCCCAATTTTGCGAATTTCCCAAATTTTCTTTTGTTAATGAATTATAATTTCATCATCCTTTTAAATGCATTGAGACCTGTTTTAGAACTAACATATGACATAGAGAATGTCCTATATGAACTTGGGAAGAATGAATATTCTACTCTTGTTGGGTGGAGTGCTCTACAGATGGCTATTGGTTTATGTGTCTGATTCTATTCATTATTGAAAGTGGAGTATGGAAGTTTCCAGTTATAATTATTAAGTTGTCTATTTTTCCCTTCAGTTTTTGCTTCATGTGTTTGGGATTGTGATGGTTGGTGACAATCCTTGGCTTATGATGAACTACAATTTTTTGACTTTACAATGGTACAAAAGCAATACGCATTTAGTGGAATCCATACTTCAAGTTTTGAATTTTGCTTTTTTTCCAACTTTAGGCCACTGTGAAGGTTCTGAGCACATTTAAGGTAGATTAGGCTAAGCTATGTTGTTCTGAAGGTTAGGTGTATTAAATGCATTTTTCACTTACAAAATTTTCAGTTTGTGATAGGTTTATCAAGGTGTAAACCCATCATCAAAAAGCATCTGTATTTTTTTCTTTGACTCTAAAGTATGTCTCTTATAGACAGCAAATGACTAGATGATGTTTTGTAATCCATCCTGCCAATCTGTGATTTTGAATTGGCATGTTTAATCCATTTATACTTAATGTCATTACTGATAATGTTGAATTTACATTTGCTATATTGCCATTTATTTTCCATATATGCTTTTTGTGTTCTGCTATTCCTCCATCACTGCTCACATTTATTTATTGTTAAATGATCATTTTCTAGAGTAAGTTGTCTATTTGCATCCCTTGTTTTTTAAAAATATACTTTATTTTTTAGAGTGGTTTTAGATTCACAGCAAATTGAGCAGAAGGTACATGGATGTTTCACATATTCCTTGCTCCCACTATGAAACTTCTGCAGTGTCATGGCATAATAGCTCATTTCTTTTTATTGCTGAATAATATTTCATTGTCTGGATATACCATAATTTACATATCCACTCATTTACTGGAGGACATCTTGGTACCTCCCAAGTTTTAGCAATTATGAATAAAGATGATATAAATATCCATGTGCAGGTTATGATGTGGACATAAGTTTGCAACCCCCTTGAGCTGTAATTTCAACAAAGGAGTGTAATCATTGGACCTTACAGTAGGCATGTTTAGTTTAAAGAAATTTCCAAGCTATCCTCCAAAGTGGCTGTACCATTATTCATTCTCATAAGCAATAAATCAGAGTTCCTGTTGTTCCACATCTTCACAGCATTTGACTTTGCCAGTATTTTGAATTTTGGACATTTTAATGGGTACATACCTGTGGTATATCATTGTTTTAATCTGAAATTCTCTGATGTCATGTGATATTAAGCATATGATTTTTACATGCTTATTTGCCATCTGTATATCTTCTTTGATGAGGTATCTGTTCATGTCTTTTGTGCATTTTTAAATTGGGCTTTGGTTTTTCTTGTTACGTTTTAAGAGGGTTTTTTAAATATATATATTTTGAGTAACAGACCTTAAACATATTTATGTCTTGCAAATATTTTTCCCAGTATGTAGCTTGTCTTTTCATTCTCTTGACACTATCATTTTCAGAGGAGTTTTTAATAAAGTCCAGCTTATTAATTCTTTTTTTCATAGGTTGCCTTTGGTATGGTATCTAAAAGTCATCACCAAACCCAAGGTCATCTAGGTCTTTTCTTATGCTATTGTTTTAGAGTTTTGCATTTTATGTATAGGTCTATAAGTCTATAATTCGTTCTGAGTTAGTTTTTATGAAGGGCAAAATGTGTGTGTCTGGCTTCATTTCTTTGCAAGTAGATGTCCATTTTTTCCAGAATCATCTGTTAGAAAGAGTATCTTTGTTCCTTTATATTTCCTTTGCCTTTGTCACAGA